CTGGCAGTGAGGACAAGGTTCCTGGCGGTGAGGACAAAGTTACTGACGGTGAGGACAAGGTTCTTGGCGGTGAGGACAAGGTTCCTGGCAATGAGGACGAGGTTCCTGGCGGTGAGGACAAGGTTCCTGGCGGTGAGGACAAGGTTCCTGGGGGTGGGGACAGGGTTCCTGGCGGTGAGGACAAGGTTCCTCGCGGTGAGGACCAGGTTCCTGGTGATGAGGACAAGGTTCTGTCTGTGAGGACAAGGTTCGTGACGGTGAGGACCAGGTTCCTTGCGATGAGAACAAGGTTCCTGGCGGTGAAGACAAGGTTCCTGGCGGTGAGGAGAAAGTTACTGACGGTGAGGACCAGGTTCCTGGCGATGAGGACAAGGTTCCTGGCTGTGAGGACAAGGTTCCTGGTGGTGAGGACCAGGTTCCTGGCGATGAGAACAAGGTTCCTGGCAGTGAGGACAAGGTTCCTGGCGGTGAGGACAAAGTTACTGACGGTGAGGACAAGGTTCTTGGCGGTGAGGACAAGGTTCCTGGCAATGAGGACGAGGTTCCTGGCGGTGAGGACAAGGTTCCTGACGGTGAGGACCAGGTTCCTGGCGATGAGAACAAGGTTCCTGGCAGTGAGGACAAGGTTCCTGGCGGTGAGGACAAAGTTACTGACGGTGAGGACTAGGTTCCAGGCGATGAGAACAAGGTTCCTGGCTGTGAGGACAAGGTTCCTGGCGGTGAGGACAAGGTTCCTGGCGGTGAGGACAAGGTTCCTGGCGGTTAGGACAAGGTTTCTGGCGGTGACGACAAGGTTCCTGGCGATGAGGACGAGGTTCCTGGCGGCGAGGACGAGGTTCCTGGCGGTGAGGACGTGGTTCCTGGCGGTGAGGACAAGGTTCCTGGGGGTGAGGACAAGGTTCCTGGCTGTGAGGACAAGGTTCCTGGCGGTTAGGACAAGGTTCCTGGCGGTTAGGACAAGGTTCCTGGCGGTGAGGACAAGGTTCCTGGCGGTGAGGACAAGGTTCCTGGCGATGAGGACAAGGTTCTGGCGGTGAGGACAAGGTTTCTGGCGGTGAGGACAAGGTTCCTGGCGGTGAGAGCAAGGTTCCTGGCGGTGAGGACAAGGTTCCTGGCGGTGAGGACAAGATTACTGGCGGTGAGGACAAGGTTGTTGGCGCTGTGGACAAGGTTCCTGGCGGTGAGGACAAGGTTCCTGGCGGTCAGGACAAGGTTCTGGCGGTGAGGACAAGGTTCCTGGCGGTGAGGACAAAGTTACTGACGGTGAGGACCAGGTTCCTGGCGGTGAGGACAAGGTTCCTGGCGGTGAGGACAAGGTTCCTGGTGGTTAGGACAAGGTTCCTGGCGGTGAGGACAAGGTTCCTGGGGGTGAGGACAAGGTTCCTGGCTGTGAGGACAGGGTTCCTGGCGGTGAGGGCAAGGTTCTTGGCGGTGAGGACAAGGTTCCTGGTCTGTAGCCTCGTCCCTGCGACTAAAATATAAAAAATTCCAGATACTGGTATTCTATATCCGGTAAATTATAGACATCCGTCCGTATCTGGTGAAATTCTACCCAATATTCACCAGATAGTACTGTAACTCTTATTAAAAAGGCATTAATAATTCATGAAGTAAGCACAAAAGAAATCATGGGTGTGAAGGAGTTTGTATATGTGATACAGATTCATGATGATTTACATAATTAATAAAACTTTAACTTCGATTTTCTCGGCTTCTTAAGCCATTTTAAGCCATTTACAACAGTCGTTTTAGTTAAGCCATTTACAACATTCGCGTCCGTGTTGTATCGGACATACAAACTCTCGCCTTCGGCTCGAGTTTGTATATCCGATACAACACGGCCGTGTGTATGGCACGGCCATACAAAAAGGCACGGTTTCCTTTGTCTTTTCTTGTAATAAGAAATTGTGCAACAGGAACAATTATTAGAAAATTATAATGAGAAACCACTCTCTGTTTCCCACCGAATTCTGTGTTACAGATATATTTATGCACTTATTTATTGTGCTTCGCTTCCAAATATCATAGAATAATTGCATTAAAGAAGCTGGGACACCACAACAGCTTAACACCAATTATAGTGGGCCCTTTACAAAATATCAATATAAATATAGAAAACAGAAATAATTAACAATTTTTCGCCGAAGGCTAGGTGATTATCGGTGAGTAGGGACAGAGACAAAGCGAAGTTTTCATTTAACAATAACCATCGAGCCTGAAGCGAATAATAGTTTTAGTATAATTTCATAGATGATTATCTGGGGAAAAAATATAAAAATACACATTTCTTCGTCATTTAATAGTCAAAACGGCTTCGGCCGACGGCCGCCATAATATTTCGAAAATCGCTTAGTTTTTCTATATAGCTAATATTTCGAAAATCGCGTTATAATCACCTCAACGGCAACCAATCAGCGTGGAAAATTTTCAATAATGACCTATGTAATTATACTTAGTTTACTTATAAGGTACGTTTACACACCGCGATCCGCCGTGTACGACTCGTATTTGGCGAATCCAATCGAGTAGGCGCGCGTCAATTGTGCATTTAAAGTTTCGCTTCAATTGTGCATTTAAAGTTTCACTTCAATTCGGATTTTTGAAATTGAGGCATCAAATGAATTTCATAAACCAGAACCCGAATCGCACAGGACGGATCGCAATGTATGCTTAATGATCTAGAGATTAAACACATACTAAAACAATGAACTTTAGTATTTTTGCACAAGTGAACATAACAAATCCTACAAGATGATTGGTCAAATTTGACGTATTAAGCTGTTGTATTCACCGGCAGGTGAATATAATAAAACCGCAATTTATATTCATATTCATTCAAATATAACAAAACCGAAAGTTATATTCACCGACAGGTGAATATAACAAAACCGAAATTTTCAAAATGGCGGCTAGCCGTTTTGTGAAAGTTATACTGATAAAGAAATAAGCGAAATTAAAATAAATTCAGTCCCAAAAAATACTAAAACAATTATTCGCCTCAGGCTCGGTGTTTATCGGGGAATATTCGCCTCGACTTCGTCTCGGCGAATATTTATCATTTATAGACCCAGAGCGAGGGGGATTCGGCGTAATATTTCCCGAAGTGATGATATTTTCCGAGGGGCTTTGCCCCGAGGAAAATATCATCACTGAGGGAAATATCGCCGAATCCCCCGAGCGGAGGGTCTATTTATCATTTATAGACCTGGAGCGAGGGAAGGTAATATTTCGCCGAATCCCCCGAGCGGAGGGTCTATAAATGATATATTATACCGAAAATTAAAAGCCTCAAAGTTGAGAATTAAAAACTTGACACATACCTTCGTGAATACGATGTTTTATTTTCGGATTAACGCAAGTATCGTCGCTTTTCTTTCGAATCACATATCGTTTGGAATATTAATGACAAAGCTCCGGGTTTTAGGTTTGAAAAAGCCCCAGGTTTTAGGTTAAAAATTGAATTATTCATCACTCATTAATACTATTTATGTTTTGTCGGCCATCTTGTTGTTATGCGTGTTGTCCCGCGTGGTCTACGCGGTTGATGACGTGTTGATGACGTAAGGCGTGATATCGCGATTAATTTCATGCTCACGTGGTACAAACTAAGCTTCCTGATTGGACAATTTGAATTTTCGGTATAATATTATCATTTATAGACCTGGAGCGAGGGAGATTCGGCGAAATATTACCCGAAGTGATGAAAGCCCCTCGGGAAATATCATCACTGAGGGTAATATTTCGCCGAATCCCCCGAGCGGAGGGTCTATAAATGATATATTATACCGAAAATTAAGTGAAATGGGAGGGGGGCAAACGAAGTTTTACCCTTATAAGTAGGGGGGTCAAAAAAGTTTTAACAGAGAGAAAGGGGGGGTCATAAAAGTTTTTGAACTTAAATACCATGTCTAGAGTTCTGATTTCTATAATCACAAATAGCAAAAAAGACGACTCTGAAAATGCTATTTCCAACGATCTAGAGACTCAAAATTTTCAAAATTTCCCTGCTCGGCGCCAACCATGGTAGCGTCTTGCGATCGTGGGAGTCGGGCCCACTACGTTTAACAAGCTTTCTACCCCCTGAGTGACCCAGTTGTGGTACTTACATAAACATATATACCATGCAGGTACACTTAACTGATTAGATTCGGTCTATGAACGCACAATGTAACGCTGTATATCCAAAAATCTGTTTCAGAAAATGCTCACATTTCAGTTCTAGGGGTGGAAAAATATTGACAGATTGTCCTAATATCTAACTTTACCTGCAACGCACACCTGTTTCATTGCTGTTAATTTTTCAATCCACACTGGGGGGGGGTCAGAAAAGTTTCTACTTTTATGAGGGGGGAGGCACAAAAAGTTTGCCTTCAGTCTGGAGGGGGGGGGTCAAAAAAGTTTTCAATCCTTATTTTCCCAATTTCCCAACCCCCCCCCTCCCCATAAATAATGACCACTCCCTAATCAACTATATGCCATTTCAGTTAAATTTAAAATTTAGCCGTACACCTACTGACAAAATACTTTGCCCTTTAAATGAAAGAATTAAACTTACTAATCGCAGTTTCAATCCAATATTGAATTGGCAAGAGGTTTCGACAAAGAAGTCTTGGGGTGATGAATTAATGCAACCTCGCACTACGAACTGTTACTTGATGAGGTATATATAACAATCCCCGGAGGTGAACAGTTTATTTATTATTTTTTTAAAATTAAGTTCAAGTTCGCCCAAAACATTACATGAGATAACAAAACGCTCCACGGAGCGTAAAGTCGCTGGGGCGATGGAAATATGCAATTTTAAGCACAAGTGATACCACTTAAGAACAGCGTGTTTGTTTTTCCGAAAACATTGACTCTTGAAGTTTGCAGTTTGCCTGGCAGTTAGCGCTAATAGTTAAAACAAGTACAACCATGTAGCAATGTTGTTTTAATAGTCATATAGTATACAGTATATATCGTATGTGTTAAAATTATAAGATTTTATCCTGTTGTCATTACACAGATCGGCTGGTGTAATGTTACCAACTGGTGCATGCGTCGAAGGCTGGAAGGCAAGAATATTCTTCCCTTCGAAACTAAACACATTATAACGTCTGTGTAATACTATAATGCCTCGTGAGAGGAGATTACCAAGCGACTGTATTATGTATAGCAATAACGCTTTAGTCATATCTACTAATCTACATACCAGTGCGCCTGTGCAGTATAGAGGCGGCGATCTGCATGGAATAATAATATATTATTATTATTATTGTCTTTATTAGGGTCCACTACAGTATATGTACAAAGTCTAATTATAAAGTCAATTATTCGGAGACCCTAAATGGGCGAGGCGCAAACGGGACTCGAAGAACCATGCAAGGCACCTGCCCAAACTTAGTAAAAATTTATTGTTCTGATTGAAAATCTATACTGTTCTGGATATGTTATTGGGCCAAGAAAGATTCTATGTTACTTCCACACGATATCAGGAAATTGAGTTCCTCCTTTTCAGCTTTTGGTAATACATTTTGTCCCAATGAACCTTAATCCTTCAATGCTATTTAATAGGAATAGGACTCAAAAGAAGCAGGCGATGTCTGACTTTAAGATTAATTTATGTAGATTAATAAGTGCTATTTAGTATTTAATATTTACAAACGTGGGCTAGGAGCCTACTAGAAA